CAGTTCATCACGTTTCATCCAGTTCATCACGTTTCAGTCTGAGAGAACCAGGTGGGGAGTACCAGGAAAGACGTGAAGAAGTGAAGTTGAACACTGAGCAGAGCTGAACTGTCCAAACTCATGAAAAGCAAACGGAGGAAACAAGTGATTCAAGTGAACTTCGGGAAAGTTTACTCAACCTGGAACACTGATACTGCTATTATTAGATACTGTGTGTGTGTGTGTGTGTGTGTGTGTGTACCTGACCTCTGCACAGCAAAGCAACATGGGAAATACCTGACTAATGGTTAAATTTGAGATCAGGACATCTCATATCTTGACTTTAACTATTTTGGAGATTTCAGGATGAAAAGTCATGATTGACACATGAGATGATGTGATTGGTCGAGCATGTGTACGCCACAGTACTAAGATGTTCTCCACAGTACTGCAGTACTACAGTACTAAGATGTTCTCCACAGTACTAAGATGTTCTCCACAGTACTGCAGTACTCCACACGTCCTCATGGTTCAAACATTACATCATCAGAGGTGAAGACTGCGATTCTTCTTCTTCTTCTCCTTCAGCTTCTTCTTCTTCAGGTTCTTCTTCTTCTTCTCCTTCAGGTTCTTCTTCTTCTTCTTCTTCTTCTATGGTTTCATGTGTCTCTACTTCCTGTGATTGGTCCAACAAAGTGTTTTCACTGTGAACCAACAGAACCAGGATCAGTTTGATCCAGACCCAGAACTTCTGGTCTGAGGAACCGTTCACAGCTGAAGTTCAGCTTCAGACTGAACTGAGAGTCTGAAGCTCTGAAACGAACATGTCTTTGTTTCTGGGACATTCTTTTAAAACATGTGAGCAGTGAGTTCGTTCTCTGAGGTCATTCGAGTTTAGTACAAAGTAAAAAGAAAAAGTAAGAACCCTGAACTTTGCTGTGCAGATATTTTGGAGATGATCTGTGACTTTGGGCAGAGGTGAAGTTCTCTTCTGCTCAGTGTGACTTCAGTTTAAATAAAAGCCTGTTAGCTTTAGATAAACGTTACTTTTTTTAGCAACGAGGACGCGGAAAATATTTGTTCAACTGTTGAAATGTAACTGAGGAAACGTCTGATGCAGCGCTCGAGCAAACAACGGCTCCAATTTACAGATAAGAAGAGTTCGTTGGTTCTGTTGGACGTTTTCAGCAGAATTGATCCTGACAAAGATTTATAATCCAAACACACGTGGAGGTGTGGAGCGTTTCCTATCTATAACAGATCTAATACATCTAATAGATCTAACAGATCTAACAGATCTAACAGATCTAACACATCGAACAGATCTAACTGATCTAACAGATCTAAAACATCTAACAGATCTAATAGATCTAACAGATCTCTATCACTCTCAGTAAACGAACACAGACGTTTGTGGTTGTCAACACTTGGAGGTTCAACGTGTGACAACGTCAGCTCAAAGAGCAGCATCACTAAAGAATCATTTCCATCGAGCGGATGAGATCTGAAGAAAACCTGTGACTGAATGAGGAAACTGGCTTCAGATCAGTTTGATCATCTTTGATACGAACGCTTTTGAAATGTGGTTTTGTGACGTTTTCTTTTTCAGGATTCTTTCAACAGATACAAAGTGAAGTCCGTCGGACAAGTTGTGTTTGAAAGGAAGTTTTCAGACGATGTTAGAAACACGAGCTGGAGGTTTCTGCTGCTGGAAACTTAAAACTCAACTTACATAAGTTTGATCTGTCAGTGACATGTGGGGGAAAGGTCGTGGTCACCCACTGTTGTTTCATCCATCAACACACACACGTCTAACACACACACACACGTCTAACATACACACACACACACACACACACACACACACACACACACACACTCACAGAGCTGCTCTATCTGTCACATGTTATATAAGAGTTTCTTTGTTCAGCTGTTGAATCCATCAAAACATCAGCTGAACAGAAGAGAAGAAAAACAGAAGTGAGGAAAGAAAGAACGAAAGAGAGAAAGAAAGAAAGAGAGAGAGAAAGAGAGAGAGAACGAAAGAGAGAGAATGAAAGAACGAAATAAAGAGAGAGAGAAAGAAAGAAATATAAATGAATGAAAAAAAAGAAATATTTGAGGAGGGACAGAAAAAGAAGGAAATTATTAAAAAAGTAGAAAGAAAAGGGGACGGAGAGATGAAGAGGAAACAAGTAGAGGAGAAGGAAAGAAGGAAAACGGGTTAAGGGGGAGGAAGGAGGGAGGAAAGTAGGAAATGGGTTAAAGGGAAGAACAAAGAACAGAATGAATTAAGGAAATTAGGAAACATTGGATGAGGAGAAAAGGACAGAAAGGAAAGATGAAGACGGATGAAAGAAAGGAGGACATAAAGAAAGAAGCTCACCTGAGAATCGATGAGTTGAAGGAGCAGCTTTAAGATCCAGATCTGGAGAAACGTGCAGAAGAGAAGAAGAAGAGAAGAAGAAGAGAAGAAGAAGAAGCTGTGCAGGTGTCTCTGAGCGTCTCCGAGAGGTTTGGCTTTCCGACGCAGGAGGAGGGGCCTGTGTTTGTGTCTTAGCCTCCAAAAGGTCAGCAGCAGTTTGTCGCCCGCAGACACACACACTCATTTTATTTTAGGATGTAGACCAGAGGTCGCTGTGATGCAACTGCAGCATTTCCTTCATGACGGTGCAGAAAACTGAGGTCGTCCTTCATCCCCTCGTCTTCATCAGACTGACCTTTGAGCCCGTGTACCACGCCACCGCCATAGGTGGACAACACTGCAGAGACATTCGATTCAATTCCTGGACCCGCCCTTTAATTCAGAAGTTCTCTCTCGGGTCACGTCCCGCGGAATCCTGGGAAATCGTACGAGAAGTTTTTGCGAGATCCTACGAACTAACAAACTGAACATCTTCACCGGTGACCTGGAGAACCAGAGAACATGGCTGTGATCCTGAACGCAGCGTCATGGTCACGTGTGATGAGGAGCCCCGCCGCCACAGAGCACTGGTTTATTCAAAGATTATTCATTAGAATTAAAGTCACATGACCGGTTTAAAAGATGAAGACACGGATCTCAGGATAAAACCGAGAGATTTCTGGAAACATGACATCATGTGCTCAGGTTTGACTAAAATCTTATAAAGATTTAAAACCTAATCTCCAGGATTATTTGACCAGAACACTGCTCCAGTTTCTAACGTCCGCAGCCTGAGAAACTCTTTTCCAATCCAGACTAATGAACCAAGACGATCTGTGGCCGAGTGATGACGTCTCGGAGGAAACAGAATTTACAAAATGAAGCTGAAGATCTTCTGAGCTCAGAGGAAACTTCATGTTCGTCCACGTCAGACACAATCTGTGTTCACGTCTTTGAAACCACGTCCACTGCTGCATCATCAGCTTCTTTCAACAAAGCTACAACCCACCGGACAGCGGAGACGACTCACGATTGGTCGAGCACAGGTTCGGGTTTGACCTCGATACCGTGACTGTGATGTCAGCTCATATCCGGGGGGGGGGGAGGGGTGGACGTGTCGTCCATCTTTGTTTACAGGCTACGATTCGTACGCTCAGTATTTTTGTTTCTCTCTCTCTCTTTCAGTTTGAGAGGTCTGAAATGTTTCCACTGAAAAAAGTTGTTTAGCACTCAGATACCTGGAGCTCATCATCATCATCTTCATCTTAATCATCATGATCTTCATCTTCATCAATCTACTCTTTAACGTCTACTTTGATTTTTTAGTTTTTAGATTGGTTGCGTTTGTTAAATCTTTATGCCGTGAGGTTATTTTAGAGGAAGTGATCTTTGAATGAGACAGAGGCGTGTGAGACAGGATCATACATGTAGAGACACCGTGTGGAGGATAAACACGGATCAGCTGGAAAACAGGAGGAGCAGGTTTCTCTGTGTGTTTTGGTTTTCACAGTTGTATCATTTTACAACGTGTCGTCTTCTATATTTGGCCTCAGCCGTAAAACGCTCTGTTGTGTCCTCAGGTCAACTCTTTAATTTAACTCGTGCAGATGTTGATAAACTCGATAATGAAGTTTGAAATGAGCAGTTAGACGAAGAGTTTATCCAAAAAGATTCCTGCAGAGCGGTGAGACGGAGGAGAAGTTTGTATAAAGTCTGAATAAAGGTGAAAGGGGAACCTGGCAGAAGAGGAGAGGCTACAAATAAAACCTGGAACCATAGAAAGAGAAATGTTCCATCGAGCTTCAGATCATAAATGTTGCTTTAGACCGTATTCATTCTCCAGACTGTGTAAACAGCCTGAGACGTGTGTGTGTGTGTGTGTGTGTGTGTGTGTGTGTGTGTGT